TCATCCTTACTTTGTCTCATTTCGCTTGATTTTATTAACGTCTTCTGAAAGCTCCTGGATCATTTTGGTTATTACTTCCATTATCCGTTCAATTGTATCTTCTGTGATCCCACTGAGTACTTCCTTGATCTGTTATCTGACCTCCTCTGTTATCTTTTGGAATAATTTGGGTATGTAGTTTGTGCTATTTTTTCCCTCAATACCCCCTGGTAAGGCTTTGGGGGAGTTGAGAATTTTAGGAGGCATTTTGTTCCCTTGTTTTCTTATGTTTCTACAGTTTTTATGTGTTTGTTTGATTGGTTTTGTCTTGTGCTGAAGTTTGCAGACGCTTATAATGCAAAGAGTTTGTTACTAGTAAGAGTTCTTTAGTCACTTTTCAGTGATGTACTTTGGGCCTGGCTAACTATAGTCCTTGGGCACAGCCTCAAAATCTATCCACCTTGGTTAATTTTGGAGTGGAGGTTGCAGCGTAATTAGCCTAATACTGAGTTTTCTGGGAATGTACTCTGATATTGTTAATGTCACAAAGGTAATATGAATGTTTGCTTACAGAGAAATCTCAACAATTATGCAACTGTGGTAATATCAAAAAATCGGTTGTATAATCAAAGAAAAATTGGATAGTAAGATACTATAAGAACCAATTATGTACCCTGAGGTGAAGAGGTATATGAACAGCCTTTGCAATGTATAAAAAACAAAAAAAACCACAAAAAACAAAAAAAAATAGAGCAAGTGAAACAAAAAATGATGTTCTTAGTGTTTTTCTATAATGTAGTCTTGTTAGCTTTTTTGTTACTGTAACAATGCTGATCTCGAACTGTACCAAAATACATGGAGACTAACAAACAGAACCACATGGAACTTTCAAACTGAAAAAAGATATTTGTCACAAAAACTTTGTTGTCATAGTTAAGTTGATTGTAGATGGTAATTGAATATACTCCTTTGAAATATTTCATCAAGTACGTTTCCTGCTCATTGTGATACACTAAAAAAATATGAGCAGAACCAATTATGTTTCACCTTTAACCCTAGAGAAGAAATCCACAATTATGGTGTAAACGTTAAGACAACCCATGTATTGCCTTACAGTTAATATGTGCTAAATGTGACAGCCGTATCTCTACTAATGGTAGAAAAGAACTCAACAGTAATTTTATAGAGTTAACTATTAAAAGATTAACAAACATACTTAGAAAGAACAAAAAAAAGAGAGAGAAATTCTCTGTGATTTTGAATGTGTGGTTTTCTTCTGGTATCTACAATTTTGGGGGCAGTGCCCAAGTCAAGACGTGTCCCTGCAATGCCGGTAGATAAAGAAGGCAGTCAGATCCCAGATTCATGCTGCATGCAGGCACCAGCAGGCAGTAGGGTTCGGGTGAGGGCATCAGAGCCATGACGTTCAAGCCCAGAGCAACAGGATGAGCCTGGATTCTGGCTATGTGTAAGCTGGTGGGCCTCATAGGAGACTTCAACATTGTTTGATTTGCACATATAAATGAAATGAACTTGACCTATCTCATGTAAATGCCTATGTGAAGGAAAAATAACATTTAAGAACAACCAACCAGAAGCTCCCAAGTCTTACAACTAGACTTTCCAATGGCATAGAATAAATAAGACAATGCATACCTGTAGCTAACTGTTCTCTTTGCTCTACTTCTGTTTCTGTCCTATAAAATCTTTTGCCCTAGTCACTTTCCTCCTCCCTGCAACAAAAAACCTAACATCCAAAATTTAAAGGAGGAGAAGTTTATTTTGGCTCGCATTTTGGAAGCTTCTGTCCTTGCATGGTCAGTGGCATGGTGGAAAGGTCTTGCAGGGAGGAAAGATGCTTTCACCTCGTGGTGGACAGGGAGCAGAGAGGGAGAAGGCTAGATCCAGGGAAGGAGAGATGCCCTGCCAGGACATACCCCTAGTGATCCGCCTCTCCTGAGCCAACTGTGACTCGTAATACCAAGTGTTCCGTAATTCACTCACCTTGTGCAAGCCTTGCCTCTGAGTAAATGGGGTATCAGGTCATCCAGCTATAAATCAACACAACTTTCCCTGCAAATCCCCGTTGTGCAGTCCCCAAACAGTTTCTAGTTTGGAACTGCCCAATTTATGAATCTTTGTTGAAATAAACTCTCTTAAATTATGTTACACCTCAGTTTATTTAATGGTGCTTGACTCCACCAGGCTGTGCTAAGCTAAAGGCACTGGTGGGGAAGAGAGTGTGACCCTCAGAGACAGAACAGGGGCTTTGGACTGACCAATCTCCCCGAATAGTGCTTGCCTGTGAAGATGTCCTCCCCTCGTCTGTGAGACAGCTAACCCTTCTTTGCACAGAACCCTTCCGGGGATGGCACCTGGGGCAGACTTCCCATAAGAGAGGCTTGTTTTCCTGCATACCCTCCGGAGTGAGGTTCCACACAGAGAAACATAAGCCTGTTCTAGTAGGAGCAAGCCACACACCGAGAGCACTATAGGACCTCAGCAGTCAGCACTGGTGTGAATCCTGCAGATGTAGGGAAAGTATTCTGTGCCAGTTATCCTTTTTTGCCTCTTTCATTGTCCTGTTTGTGGTACCAGAGCTTGAACATGCGAATATTTCACAACCTGTCCTAGGCATAGTTAGAAGTTGCCAGTAGAGGGTGCTAGAGGGACGCTGCAGGAGGAAAGGTTTCTCTTCTAGCTCAAGGAATAGACTTCAGCCACTACCTGCCATGCCTTGGAAGGGGGGGCACTTTGAGTGAGCTGCATGCACAGCCCTTTTCAGTTTTTTTTTTTTTTTTTTGAGGAGAGTCTTCTATTTCACTAAGTTGCACAGGCTGTTCTTGAACATGCGATTTTCCTGCCTTAGGAACTAATCCTAGAGTGCTGAGGTTATAGGCTTGCACCATCCTATGTGACCTATATTAAACTTTCCTTATGGAAATTGTGTGTTGTTTCTGATTTTTGCCTGGACCCTGATGGATATAGGTTCAAATGAGGATGAAGAAGGCTTGACAGGGCCAAATTCTTTCACATGGGTTATGGGATTTAAAGTATTGGCTCAAGTGCTTAGGAATCCGTTTACTAGTTGGCTCGGTGAACGAGGTAATATCTGCAGTCAGTTCTGGATCTTGTACGGAATACTGGAGAGAGAAAGTGTGGGGGAGGTTGCAAAGCCTAAGTGGAATTGGCTGATTACATACAGGTTCCTCAGCTAGCTCCTGACTGCCGTCCCTAGGGGGGCATTAAGAGGTACACTGAGGTCTAAGAAATCCAAAGTATGAATAATTTAAAGAGCAAAATCAAAGACAGATGATAGGAAATAGGGTGGTAGACCTTTTGATGGAGGGAAAGCAATCTAGGGTAGAGGAGGAAGGGGAGGAAAGGAGGGAAGAGGAAGTGAAAAGATTAAGACTGATGTGGACCAACTACCCGCTGAATGTATTCACTGTGCATTGCAAACATGTACTAATAAGATTTTTCTTCAAATGGAAATACACCTAGGATGGAACCTAGAGAGCTCTGTAGAGGCTCAAGCCTGAGGCAGAGGATGCTTGTGGGGAATCAGGTAATGGAATGGGGATATCCAGTGGCAATGGGAAAAAAGAGGATCTTGGAGAGATGGAGTGATGCTAAACACTCAGAGATAAGGTGTCCCAGACACTAAAGAACCACGAGCAAAAGATCAGAGTATTTTCACAAGCGGAGACCTACAGTGATGCTAAATGCCCTGGGGAGGGGAGAAACCCTAAGAGTGAACTCAATGAGAAGTCAACTAAAGTCATACTTGATAAACTGGAAATTCCTTGCTCATGGGAAGAACCCTAACTAGAATCACTGCAGTGATCTCTTATTGTTCCCAGGCCGAACCAGCTCACAGACCTGGATCCCATGAAGGAAGAGGAGGCTGGGTCTGCCTGAGAAGCCTCCTGCGGTGCAGTCAACCATATAAGCAGTGACTCTTCCCTTACCAGAGAGTTCCAGGGCCCTCTGACTGAGGACGTGGGGCACTTGTCAAAGGGCCATTCTCAGACTGTCCGGAGGATTATGTGCATGACGAGGATGCGAGGCTGCACTGTGAACCACGTCAGGGGATAGACTCATCCTGGGTTATTTGTGCCACCACAGAGTGTATGGCTGGTGTAAGTTATGGGAAATCTCCACATAAATTTCCTGATCCATGGAGTGGGAGCCATTATGGTAGCAAAACAAAATGGTAGTTCTGGCACGATCACACCCCTGAACAGGAAAGTAAATTAGATGCAGTAATGAACCTTTGGTGGCATACCTGAGATTACAACCAACATCAGATGAGAGATGCAGGAATCTAGATTGCTGCCGTATTTCCATTTACCGTGCCTATGTGATCACTTTTAAAGGGTTGGGAGAATAACAATTGGGAGAATGATATGGCAAATGAAAGTGGCAGCGACAATGGCCTCTGCATTCTCTATTCAGTGGTTCTGTGGACACTGCCTTCAAGAATTTAAGGACAACTTTTCCATTGCTAGGGTGTCACATGCAGTATTGCTTCCAATGAGGGGATGTGTTCTAAGACAAAGGATGCGACATAAATTCATACCCGTGGAACTCAGTCACTTTCCCACAAGCACCACTGCACAATGACTCTTGGCTTCTCAGAATGTTGGAATGGCCTCCGAGTGGCTCCTTATGCCGCCAGATGAGATATTGTAGCAAAAATTGAACAACTTGCTGTACACAGTAAACTAACTGTGAAACTATTGTTCCACTTCCTCCATGGCCCAGTGCACATGGGTCTAGGACATAAGGGGAGGATAAGAGATATTCCTCCTACTATCACACTTGAAAACTTGTGGAAAGATGTTTGCCTCTATTCCCTGTGACCTTGTGCTTGTTGTGTTTTGTTTTGTTTTTGATTTTTTGAGACAGGTTCTCACTTCATGATGCAGGCTGGCCTTGAACTCACTATATAACCCAGGCTGGCCTTGAACTCTCAGCAATCCTCCCGCCTCAGCCTCCCAAGAGCAGGGATTATAGGTGTGCACTACCACACCTGGCCCTGTGTTTGTCTGGGTGAAGAATCCTCTCAGAGTTCTAACCAACAGAAATATGTGTGTCTCCAAGTTATTTTGCGCTCTTTGTCTGCAGAAACAACCAACCAAAAAGAGGGCTACCCTATTGATCAGAATGACTGAAACTGATTAACAAAGGAGGTTGGGTTGATGTGTCAAGGAGACTATGTTTTGAAGACAGGGAATTCCCTCGGGATATTTCCTTGGCTCAGTCCTCATTCACTGGAAAGTGGGAAAAAGCAATAGAGACGAGATCCCTCAATATTCACTCCCTATATGAAGGCAGAGTTGGTTCAGGCACCACCGCTCTGCACCGCAGTGACAAGGGACTATGGAATGGGCGTCAGAAGACGGCTTCTCCAGTGGCAGCCACTTACACACCCAGTACTTTAGCAGCTGTTTTGAGCTTTCTCCTTCCCCATCTTCCTCTCACGATGACCATGGGTGGTCTACCACTGTTATTGGCACACAGTTTACAGTAATTGTGCAATAACTCATTGGATGTGGCTTCTGTCTTTTGTTTTGTTTTGTTTTTGTTTTTGTTTTTGTTTTTTTCCAGTATTGGGAACCGAACTCACGACCTTGTGCTTGCCAGGCAGGTGCTGTGCCGGTGGCTTCTGTCTTAAGGACTCTGACTTCTATCTGGATGGAAGAAAAGGGTGCATTCTGAAGAGGAAAGGGTGCACTGTGGCTGACAGTTTTTCTTCCTTCTGCAAACTCACTCTTCTCTCATTATTCCTCTTCTTTGTGCAGTGCTTGGCTGGCCTATGGGGACTACAGCAGCTAGATGTCCTGCTTTGTATCTTTTTTATTTATTTTTTATTTTTTGGTTTTTCTCTGGTACCAGGAACTGAACTCACGACCTTGCGCTTGCCAGGCAGGCGCTTTTGCCGCTGAGCTAAATCCCCAGTGCCTGTCCTGCTTTGTATCTTCCAGTTCGGTCCAGCCAATAGGGAGCCCCAACAAGAGACCAGAGGACATCAAGTGACATTGGAATATTCATTCCCCAGCTTCCCCCCTGTAGGGTTGCAAGCTGGATGCATTTTTCAGCCTGGGATCAGAGGTCCTGTAAGGCAACTATTTCTAAAGTACTCTCTCTCTTTCCAGCAGCAGCTCCTTCTCTTCACCTTTTCAGGCCTAGGATGGTAGCAAAGACCCAACATAACAGCCTTGGGAAATTCTGGTAACCCTGTTGCTCTTAACCGCTCTCATTCCCTTACACCCATTAGCCCCTGACTTCCAGTTACTCAGCTGAGCTGAGCCCCTTGTTGTGCTGAGAGCCTGGCCAGTAAGGAAGAAGTTCATGCTCATGGTATACCTTCATCTCCCGGGACACGGCAGTGCTGAAATGCTCTGGGCTACATCACCCCGAAGGCTCTGCTATCACCCAAGCTGGAACGAAGATGTGGACCAGACCATCAAAGGGCAGACCTCGGATGAAGATTCTCTCCCAGAACTCCTTTCTTTCCCATGTCTTGTCTTTCCCTTACATACAGAAATCTGAGTATTAGGAGAAAGGACAGGGTCTTTATTGTCAGACACATGTGACCAAAGCTTGAATGTCTCCTTTTCCAAAGGGACAAGTTCAGCTGCTCCCAAGCTCTCCTAGATGTTATTATCAGGTGACAGAGTGTGTAGGGGTGTGGAGATATGATAATCCACAGGTGGGAAGATAATTTGGTGTCCCGGGCCATAAGGTTATGTGGTTACAGAGTTTAGGTGATTAGCAGGGGTTAAAGGTCAAGGAAAAATGGATTTAGCAGGGAGGTGAAAACCCCCACACCAAAGAGCTACACATGACCCCAGGCCCACTGCCCAAGCCAGGTAGGGGGCAGGAGCACCACTCCGTGGTCTTGTGCTCCGGTGCTCTTCTACAGAGAAGACCCCAATCTTCTGGACTTTTTTCAACAAGGATCTGGAACTTGCAGGCATGCAGCCTTGAATGCCAAACGTGGCAAAGAACCCACCTATATGGGGAAGACAGTCATGGAAGACACCTAAATCCTCAGACCCAGGAATCCAGCCCTCATCCTCCTACACAGAAGTTCAAGCCCCAGCGATTCCTCTCTCAGACCAAGAACACAGGCCCCCAGCCCTGCTCCCCAGGCTTCTAGACCCCTGGCCCCTTCTTCCTCTCACCTAGGAAACCAAGCGTGAACTCTCCTACCTAAGCACCAGGAGTCCTGGTGGCCCTTCCTACTTCAGCCCCAGGAGCCCGGGCCCCTAACCCTCTTGCTTCAGAAGTGGGGAGGAAGCCTTAGCCCTTCCTTTCTCAGGCCCAGGAATCCAGACTCCAGGGTTCCCCCTTCAGACCGAGAAGTCCAGGACAGCACCTCTCAACTCACACCAAAGAACCTAGGTCCCAGCCATGCACCAGGGACCCACAACATAGCCTCTTTTCCTGCGAGACCAGGTGTTCAGGTCTCTGCCCCACTACCTCAACCCGCATTTCCGGCCACAAGCCCTTCCTCCCTCAAAGCCAAGTGTCCAGGCTCTATTCACTTTCTTTGGGGCCCACAGGTCAAGGCTACAGTCTCTCTTCCCTCAGATGCAGGGGATCAGTCAGCAGCCTGTTTTCCCTCAGATACAAGAGTCCGGGTCCCAACCCTTCCTCCCTCAGACCTAGGGATTCAGATCTCCAGCACCTTCTCCCTCAGACCCAAGGGTCCAGGCCTCAGCCCATAGCCAGGAGTCCAGGCTGCAGCCCCTCATCCCTCAGACCCAGGAACTGAAGCTCCTGACTCTTCTCTTCCAGGCCCCAGCATCTCCTTCACTAGATACAGGAGCCCAGTCCTCTAGCCTCTCCTCCCTCAGGCCTACGAGTTCAAACATCTATCTGTCCTCCCTCAGACCCAAGAGTCCAGGCCCTTAACCTCTTCCTCAGGCCCAGGAGTCTAAACCCAGCCCCTCTTCTTCTGATGTAGAAGCCCAGATACCAGCCTTTCTTCCTTAGGGGAATGTTCAGGTCCCCAGACCCTTTTCTCTCCCACGGTACGGTCCTGGGTTCCACCCCTGTAGTCCCTGGGATCGACTCACCTCCACGAGTTTCAATGTCTCCTTTGTAACAGTGAGTGGTATTGGCAGGGCAGGTAATGACGCTGGAATCTTGTGAGCAAGATTCACCAAACTGCACACAGACAGGACACTGCAGGTATCCCAGGACAGGGGCATCTGGGAGACAGAAAGAAGACCGGATGCTCATCTCTACTCTCGGCTGCAAACAACTGCTGGAGCCCCAAGTGACCGTGTTTGTCCTTCTCCCTGGATCCCATACCTGGCCTGGAGAGGGAGGTCAGCAGGACACTGCTGTCGCTGGCGCTGTTGCACAAGTTGGAAGAGCAGAACCGGGCATAGGAGGCGACGATTATTGCAGGAAAGCTCGAGTGAATGGAGACAGTTGGGGCATTCCCTCTCTCAGGACTGCTACAGCCTTTGCTCCCCACAAGGAGTGATTTCTGTCCTGGGGCTGGGATAAAAGAGTAAAAGAAAGCTGGGATCATGGAGGGGAAGCTCTGAGGACAGTTGCAGCTTTGGAGCCAAGGGCTTGCAACTGTAATACTTCCCCTGCCCTGTTGCTCCTCAGATCTTGTTCAAATGCTTCCCCTCCCTAGAGCTTTCCTTGAGCATCTGTTGCAAAATTGCAGCTCTTGCCTTTTCATTTTCCCTATGTTCTTTTCCCTGCTTGATTCTCCTTTTGGCCTGTTTTACTTCCCTCTTCCCCTCTAGCATGCAAATCTACAATCAGAGAGCACGAATTGCTCTACAGTACCTAAACTGGTGCCCAGTGGATATTTTCCAAATGGACTAAGTCACTGAGGCTCCTAGGTTCCAGCACTGTGGTCAGCCCTTTGCAAGGATGACCAATTATATTCTCACAACCTCACAGCGACGTAGGTACTATCATTGCAATGCTTTGCCCCCATTTTGCATTAAAGGAAACCAAGGGACAGAGAAGGATAGAGTTGGATTGAGCTCTCTAGACATGAAGAGAAATGGGCAGGAAATTCGGGGCGTGGGTGCACTGGGCACAGTGCAGGTGTGCTGCCCTCTCTCAGCCCACACACCTGGGTCTGCGAGCAGCAGCGTCTCCTGACACACCTCCCCAGGATTACATTCCTGTAGCGCGCTTGCCTCCCAGTCCACCGGTTCTTGAGACAGGTCTCTCCTCACCCGCCACATGACCCCCAGATGACAGGTCAGGGTATCTGGGGGGAAGAAATCACCAGAGTCTTCATGAGCCGGGGAACCTGCCACACACGCTCCTCCAGGTCCCAGGCCAGGGAAGATCACACTGTGTGGATCACATTCCACGTTACCTGGCTGTGGAGCCCCTCACTCAGATATAGAAGGAACTCTAATCTTCTAAAGTCTTAGCTTGTCTGTTTACATGCAGGGTCCACTTCTCATGGCCCTTTCAGGAAGGCAGCTTCTCCCTGTGTGTGCGAGAGCCACAGTGGCACATCCCTATCTTCACCCAATCTCTACCTCTCTACATGGGCTTCAGTGTTCTCTCCAGTATATTGAGGTAAACTGAGGCCATAAGTTTCTTTTAACTGGAAACCAAGTGTTCTAAGCAAAAAATGCTCAGATGCCTAGCGTGTCCTGAGTACTTCCTTAATACCCAGCTGTTGTAATCGCTGTCTGTAGATTAGGCCATTTGACCCTCACCTTGGGCTGCATTGCCTCATTTCCTCATGGTTCTTTGAAGTAGGTGGAAAAATCATCATCAACATCTCCACCCGCAAGTCAGCAAAAGCAAAGCAAAGGACTTACTGAGTAGCTTGCCTGGTGTCAGACAGACAGTAAGTGGCAGAGCCGAGCCAGGAACTCGGGCATTCTGGTTCCTTTAGCTCAGGGTTGGGATGGGTGATGCAAGACAGCTATGGTGACCATCTTCACCTATCCTGGTCCTAGCGGACCTCTGGAGTCTAGTTTCAGACCGTGAGCTTTGGCCTTTTCTTAAGTCCATCACATGAGCAACAGCAATGTGCTCCATAAGGCAAATGCTCTTGGTTCTAGGACTCAGTGTCCACAAACACATACAACCTTTGCAACAGCCCCACGAAAGAGGGCTACTCACTTCTTTTTTCTTTTTCTTTCTTTCTTTCTTTTTTTTTTTTTGAGTAGGAAAATTTATTGGAGACAAAGCATGGGGAATCGGAATGGGAATGGGGAATAGGAATAGCTCCGGAGAGACAGGAGAGGTCCCAAATGGGTTGCCAACAAGCCCACCTCTCCAGGGAAGTTTTGTAGAACAAAATCGTAACATGGGTACAATGTGGGTCAAAATCATGGTCAACCAGTAAGATTGCAAGTGGGCCGGGGATATAGCTCTGCGGCACAGTGCCTGCCTAGTGAGTGTAAGGTCCTGAGTTTGATTCCCAGTACCAAATAATAATAATAATAATAAAGATTGCAAATATAGTCTCTTTGGTAATATTGATCTAACGGTAGGAAAGGTATATGGGTGACGTCATCAACTTTGATCAATACTCTATAGTCTTAGCCTTGTCTTTAGTCTTAGCAGTCTGTCTTAGTCTTAGTCTTAGCGGGGGGACAGGGATAGACCACCCCTAATGAGATCATGGGAAATCTCAGAAGGGTGACATCAATCATCCAAAACCTCCATTCATCCCTTAGGGAAGTATGTAAAACTAGAGGGCTACTTTAACACATGACAAAATTATGGCTCTGCTTCCTCTTCTCCTAAAGCATGACCTTTGCTCGCCTGCCCGCACTCCCCCTACCGCCTTCTTCCCCATCTTGGTCAATAGCAACTCCTTTCTTCCAGTTGCTCAAACGGAAATATTACATTCATTCTTGACAATGCTTCCTCTCACACCCATGTTGCATTCATCAGGAAATCCTGCCAAATATCGGAACCAGGCTGTCCGCCAGCACTTCCACTGCTTCCTTCCAGGTCCGAGATCTCATAGGCTCTCCCTTCCCCCTCACTCAGTCCCTTGTGCTCTCTCTAAACCCCTCTCTCATCTCTCACCCTGTTTTTTAGCCAGCAGCCAGAGAGATCCTTTTTAAAGGAAAGTCAGTCAGCCAATCTTCTGCTCAGAAGGTTTCCATAGATCCCCAAGCCACTCAGTATAAAATTCTCAGTCCCTAAAACAGCCCTACGTGACCTGGCCTCCCCCTACCTCACCATCCGCATGATCTGCTCTGATCTCTCTTGCTCACAGCTCCATCTACACTGTCTTTTGGGCTAGGGATGCAACACAGTGTCAGGGAGCAAGTGGAGAAGAGAGCATTCAAGGGTGATTGAGCGCTGCTCAAAGGTAAAGGGAATGGAAAAAATGGGGCATGGCAGTAGCCTGTGCTGCAGAAGAATCAAGACCTTGAGTGGCCTCCTAAGGAACTAGGGAGGGATCTGATGAGAACGGAGGGTCATGGCAGTCACTTCCACCTCAGGACCTTTGCATATGTCCCCTTCCTTCAGTGTCTAGAACAGCTGCCTCTCCGTCCCCCGTGTTACAAGCTTTGTAACGTAGGTGTGATATGTGGCAGGGGCTGGATGAAATGATGAGATTTCTAACACTCAACTGATCCTGAGACTTGAAGGCTGGTTCACTGGCAGGGCAGGGGCAGGAACCCACATCTCTCCGATTCAGATATGAGGCTCTTAGGTGCTGTGCTCTGACTTTCTTCACAAAGACCAGTGTCTGATTTCTTAGGGGAGTACAAGAGCTCATATGTTCCAGCTCCTTACTTCGTCTTCAGAATGGAACGCTGTTGTGACCCACTTCGGGTAGTCTGTATTTTGTATTCAGACCTCTCCACCCATGTGCCTTTGGGCGTTCTGTCATCCTGACATGGTCCTCTCTCTTTCTCTTATTCCCTGACGTCTTTTTGTATTCCCAGCTTCTGATGCCCGTTTTGCTGATGCTCAATGAATATTTGTTAACCTGGTGGGCTGAATTTAGCCGGGGAAGGCAAAAGAACCCTCTAAGGCTTAGCTTCGGTGCTGAAAACTATAGAATATGAATATATATTAAGAACATTGCTTTGTAGCATAATAGCTGTGTTTTGTGTGACACGTATGTGGTTTGTGTATACAGTTGTGTGGAGACGGGATGTGAGGGATGCATGCATGGTGCATGTGTGCACTGATACAGTCCATGTGATGTGTAGGGAATATGTTCTGTGTGTTTGGCATGGCAGGTATCCTGTGTATCTGTGTTTTGTTTATGTAAGGTGTATGAGGTGTGTACTATGTGTTTTGTGTGTTGTGCATTGAGTGTTCTGTGTGGGATTTATGAGGTTTGTGGTTATGGGTTTATGGATGTTTTATGAGGGGTACGTGGGAGTAGATGTGTGGCATATGATTTGCGGTGTTGTGTATGAGGCATAGTACAACGTAAACTTATGCTGGTTGTGTTTATTGTTTTGTGTGCCGTGTATTTCTAAAATGCCTTGTCAGTGATGATTGTTACCTAGTCTCAGAGATGAGGGCCAGACCCTTAGAACCAACATTAAACCATGAGAAAGAAAATGTCCCAGATTCTGTCCCTCCATCAGCCTTCCATCGTGCCACCATTAGGAGACGTTCACCCCCTCTGCCTGGCTTTGCAAGTGCATGACAAACATCAGTCTTACCCACTGATCCATTGTTCTGGACCAATATCATTCCCACACATCAGGTGGCTTCCTGACTTCTTTGCCTCGTCCCTGTGGATTCTCCTGCATGGAACAGCTCTTCCTGCCTCCTCCACATTCATGTGGCCCGCCTGGAAAGCTTCAAGTCACCCTCAATCCCAGAAGTACTTCTGTACTCACAGCCCAGTCTCAGATATCATCCTGTTGGGCCAATCTCATGCGCAGGTGAGGAACACTCCTTGGAACCAGCAGCCTGATCAACTTCCGGCCTTTGCACAGGTGCTTCCCTGTCAAGGAGCTTTTCCTCTTCTACCAGAGAACTGCAGCTCATCTTTAAGACATGGTCCACAGGTCACCATCTCTGGGAAGCCTTATGATATGTTCTTCTGAGCCATGTGTTCTCCTCTGCCACAGCTCTGATCACAGGAAGCTTTGGTGTCTCCCAAACCCGTCCAGGAACAATTTAGGGATGGGAGGGTCTGACTTATCTGAGGGCCTCATGGGAGACCTTGCAATCCAGAGTGATCTCACTTCAACCCTATGTCAAGGGCATTGATCCCAAGACTTCCCTTGGGCTACAGGGCAGGAAAACACTTACTGAGACAATCCAGGTCCTTTCCCTCTGTAAGGCTGAGCCAGCAAATGGCTCACTTTGGACACACTTGAGTAATAGACATCTACATGACTTGAGGCTGCTGACTTGGGTATGATGTCTTTTCGTGTCCAGTGACAAGCATCATCTTCCCTGAGGCCACAGTCTGGTTTTCCCATGTAGAACTCACCTGATTGAGGACTGCAGCTCTCACTCACATCCATGGGCCCGATGACCTGGGTCCCATTGAGCAGGTTGCAGCCTGGCTGGGGCATACAGCCCTGCACTCTCAGGTTGCTGATAATGCCCCCTGAGAAAAGCAGGACAGGGAAAGAGAAAGAGATGCTGACTTGGTGGACCATCCAATTCTCAGAGGGAAGGCCAGGTCCAAGAAACTAGCCCCACCCTCCTCTGAGTCCCATGTCCTACTTCAGTTAACCCTTACTGTTCAGGGACTCAAATCTCAGTGCCCAGTGGTCCCAGTTCTGTCCCCATAGGACCCCAGTGTCCAGACTTACCTCCTCTGAGCCTGACCACTCCATTGTAGCAGTGCGTGTATCCCGCTGGGCAGATCTGCTGTGGTGGACTTTCTGGACAGTCACCTCTAGACAAGCAGAGTGGGCAATGCAGGGTCCCTGGGACTGGGGAGGGGACAGAGTGAGGGACATTGAGAAGGTTCTGATTAGGATCACATGCCTTCCTCGCACCAGGCTGTGCTGGTCCAAATTACCAACCTACTCAGTCCCCACTACCCTCCCTCACACGTCCTACTGGGGCTCGTTCTTGTAGGTCCAGCTGCAGGGAATTCGGAATGTGTGACTAGAGAGAGAGAAGGAGCCAGAAGTAATGTGATCTCCTGATGGACAGCTGGGGCTGAGCGCAGTAGGAGTGCTCAGGAAACCAGGAAGCTAGGGGCTGGGGATTTAGCTCAGTGGCACAGCGCCTGCCTGGCAAGTGCGAGGTCGTGAGTTCGATTCCCGGTACCGGAAAAAAACCAAAAAACCAAAACCAAACCAAACCAAACAAACCAGGAAGCAGTAGAAGAGGGGTCTTATGCGGTTCAATCCAGACAGCCTTGGCCAAGGGTGGCAGAGAGTGCCCTGGAAGAAACCATGGCTCCCCCTACAAGTTTACCAAATAGTCGAAGTAGATAAGATGTTCTCTTCACAAAATATCCCAGAGGATAAAAACGTAAAACATTGCCCCAAACTCTAACATAGGCTGGAAAAGAAAACATCACAGCCCAATCTCCTTTCAGAAGTGGAAATAGAAATGGCCCCAATGAGATATCACTGAACCAAACCCAGGAGTGTAGGAAGGATTGTGCAGAAAGAGGACGTTAGCATCGTGCCAAGAGTCAGTCTTGGTGCCATAACACCCAAAATCAAGTTTGGAGCTCCAGAACTATTGGAGAAAGTTGGATGGGGAGGGCTGCGGGGCATGTGAACAGTGCAGTGGACGGGGTAGGGGGGAGTGAGGGAGGAAGAGATGAAGAGTGAGGAGCGAGGGAAGGATCCTGAGAACAAAGCAAGGGAGCAATCAGGGAGGGGTGTAGCCAGTGAGCTAGCAGGGCTACCATGCAGCAAGAGAGTGTCTGTAGGGCCAGGGATGTAGCTCGGAGGCACAGCCCCTGCCTGGCAAGCAAGAGGTCCTGAGTTCGATTCCCAGCATCAAAAAAAAAGAGAGAGTGTCTGTAAATGACCAGCCCATGTGCTCACTTCAACCCCTCAGCCCTGGCCTTACTCTTAATATGCCATTCCTTCTCTTCTTGCAGGGTTCCCGCCTACCTTTGGCATCTGCAGAAGAAGGGGGGGTCCAGAAAGCCTCTGTGGTGGACAGGTCATTGCAGAAGTCCCTGTGGCGGCACACTCGGGTATAGGAGACAACAGACAGCCCAGGGCCTTTCCTGTGCCAGGTGACTCGGGGCTCTTGGTCCTTTGCCTCAGTGCAGCCCTTGGTGATCACCACCTCCACTTGGGCCCCTGGATGGAGACACAGAGGCAGGTTTGGGTGGTGTTCAGGGCTGTAGGGTCCTAGAGAGAACTTTAGCATCATGCAGTGGGTGAGATGCTGGAAAGTTGCAGAAGTCCTGCAACTGCTGTGGAGGCAAGATTATTCCTGGCATTTGGGAAGGGATTCCAGATCCCCTGGAACCTAGGGCAGGGCTGAATAGGAAGAGGCAGAGCTCAGCACCTCAGTGGCCCTTCTCACCATTCACTATGAGAAGCACCGTGTCTTGACACCCCTCGCCGATCTCGCAGGTCTGCCAGCCAGCGGTCCATTCTACTGGAAAAGTCGACACATTCCTTACGGTTTCTGATGATTCTCTTTTGCAGTCCAGAACTTCCACACCTAGGATGCAAACAGAAAATACAATTGAGCAGGTTTCTGTACCCAGTTTCTTGGGGAATCTACTGCCAGGTCAGGTCCCCATTCACAGGGAGCAACAAGTTGACTTCTCTTAGCCAGCCTGTAGGTGCAGAAGGCTAGAAACCCGGATGTGAGTGACCCCCAGCTCATTTCCTCAGGTTTGCCGCTCTCGCCGGGGGGACAGACTGAAACACCAAATGAGAGTGTCTGCCGACCTTCACTGTCCTTGAAGCTCTATGGGTTAGAGTGAAGCAGGCAGATGAGGAAACTGGGTCATGGAGAGGGAAGTCCGTGGAAGCCAGGACTCTGTTTTTACCTTTTTTCTCCACCCTGACCCCACCTATCTTGCAAGCCTTCTTTGGGAGATGCTCTGTGACACTCCAGCTGTCTGCTGTGTGCCAGGCTGGCCACATAAAGTAGGCGTGGGGGAAACTCTCACCCAGAGTCTCAATGTAACTCTGCTTCTATGTCAGTCCTAAAGCCCCATCAACTGCCTCTTTTCTTTCCTTCCTCTGCAGTCAAGCTACTGGGGTGCTCCCGGACTGTAGGGATGAAAGAGGATGGTAGAGAGACCCAGGGTTACCTAAACTCAGGAATATGGAGAATAGAATTGGAATCAAGCAGTCACTCTGAGCATTATAACAAGCAGGTGGTTCTGCAGTGACAGCTGTACCAAGTCACATTCAGAGTCACTTTGTGACCTGTCGCACCCCTGACTTTCCCACTCACCTCCCTTGAGCACATGGATGAGCCACTCTAATTTAGTTGGTGCGGGATCATTTAAAATGCTACCAGTGCAATCCTGTCCTATACATACGTCCCCTGCCCCACCCTCCCTCCCTCTCTCTCATTCACAGGGACACCTCATGGTAGCACACTGCCTTGAAACCCAGGGAACCCCTCATTTTGCACATGCCTGACTGAGTAATAAATGCCTACATGAGTCGGGGTTGCTGGCTTTGGTATGATGTATTTTATAAGTTCCATACTGCTGAGCAGCGTCTTCCCCAATCCTGCAGTGCAGCCCATTGCCCGGTTTTCCCATGTAGAACTCACCAGATTTAGGACTGCAGTTCTCACTCACATCCATGGGCCCGATGACCTGGGTCCCGTTGAGCAGGTTGCAGCCTGGCTGGGGCATACAGCCCTGCACTCTCAGGTTGCTGGCGATGCCCCCTGAGAAAAGCAGGACAGGGAAAGAGACAGAGTGGACCACCATTGACTTGGTGGACCATCCAATTCTCAGAGGGAAGACCAGTTCCGGGAAGCTAGCCCCACCTCCTCTGAGCTCAGTGTCCTCCCTCAGTTTACTCTTATTATACAAGGACTCAAATCTCAGTGCCCAGCGGTCCCAGTTCTGTCTCCATAGGACCCCAGTGTCCAGACTTACCTCCTCTGAACTTGAGCACTCCATTGTAACAGTGCGTGTATCCTGCTGGGCAGATCTGCTTTGGTGGATTTTCTGGACAGTCACCTCTAGAAAAGCAGAGTGGGCACTGCAGGGTCCCTGGGACTGGGGAGGAGACAGAGTGAGTGGCACCGAGAAGGCTCTGGATTTGGAGCCGGCGCTTCCCCATTCCTTGGCTATTCTGGTTCAAATAACGCAGTCTGCTCAGTGCATACATGCTCTTCTGTGGTGCTTCTCATGCAGGCCCAGCTGTAGGGAATTAGGGATGTGTGACCGGCGGGAGAGCAGGCGCCAGAGGTAATGTGCGCTCCTGAGGGACGCCTGGGGCTGAGTGCAGGGGAGGTGCTAGGGAGCCAAGGGGCAGAGGAAATGGGTCTTCTGAGGCTGGACTCGCACTGCCTTGGCCAAGGAAGGAAAGGATGCCCTGGAAGAAACCACTGGCTTCCTCCATGAGTTCTGCTAAGCAGTTAATATGGCTAAGGTGCGCCGGTCACAAAATAGTCCAGAGGAGGAAAGCACAAAGCTGTCCCAAACTATATAACACCGCGCCGGGACAGAGGACCATTACAGGCCAAGTCCTTTAGGAACAGGAAATAGAAAAGCCCTCAGTGAGACATTGCCGAAGCAACCCCAGTAATACAGGAAGAAGGAATGTGCAGAGTGAGCATGTGAAGATCATGACCAGAGGCTGCATTGGTGCTTTAATAGCAGAAAAGCCAACCGAGCTTTGTGCTCAGGGATGTTGGACGAGGCTGGCCAGGGGATGGCTGAAACACACGTGGCCAGCACAGCGGGAGGTAGCGGGGAGTGAATGAGGAAGAGGTGAGAAGTGTCAGACCAGGAAGGATCCAGGGAAGAAAGGAGCAAGGAGGCAGCCAGGGGAGGCCATAACCGGCGCGCTAGCAGGGCTGCTGTTCAGCAAGAGGAGGCCTGGAAACAGCCCTTGTGTGGCCAGTCAGTCCCTCAGCCCAGCCCGCTTCCTTCCTGACAGCCCTTCCCTCTCCTCCTCCGGCATTCCTGCTTGGCACCTGTAGCAGAGGGCGGGGCCCACAGCGGGGTTGTGGTGGGCAGGTTGTTGCAGAAGTCTTCGTGGCGGCACACCCGGGTGTAGGAGATGATGGAGAGCCCGGGACCTGCCCTGTGCTCAGTGATTTTGGCCTCTTGGTCCTTTTCTTCAGTGCAGCCCTTGGTGAGCACCAAGGTCACTTGGGGTCCTGGATGGACAGAGAGGATGGCAGGCAGGGTTGGTGTCAGGGCTCCAGCATCCTAGAGGGTCAGGATTGGCGTGCTGAGCTAGGGAAGATTCTGAGAGGAGTGGACTGTGCACCGGAAGGGTTGTACCTACTGGGTTAGAGACCTCCAGAACCCTCTCAAGGGATGCCGGGGGAAGTACTGATTCTGGGGGACAGCTCTTGGCAAGGAGGACCCCTTCTCACCATTTTCTATGAGTACCAGTGTTTCTCGGCAACCTTCGTCAGCCTCACAGTCTGTCTGGGAAGTTGTCCATTCAAGGGGTAGTTCTGATACATTCCTCACCGTCTCTATGGTACCCCACTGACATCTCAGGGTCTGCGCACCTGTGATAGGGAGAGCAAACCCATCTTAACAGCTTTCCTTGTTAGACTCCTAGGAAAATACTCGTTTCACCTGGGGTCTTCACTTACCGGGCAGCAGGAAGGTGACCCCCAGGAAGGCCAGCAGTGGTGCAGGGCTCATGTCCAGGTGATGGCAAAAGTCTACCACAGACTCTCTCACCAGGTAATGCATCCTTTTTATACCTCGCAATGCCAGGGCAGCTTAGGAAGGGTGTGTAGCGGCCCACCCCTCCAAGGAAGGCCACGGCCCCACCCTCTGAGCTGTTACTGCTTGAAAGCCTTAGATACCAGGTGCCCCTCCTCCTCCAGACCCAGAAGTCCAGGCTCCAGCCCTCTTCCTTGAGGTAGGGGAATTGGGGCCCTAGATGCCCTCCACATTAGAAAGAGTATCTGAACACAGGTCCTACTCTCTCAGACCTCTAGGCCTCTTTCTTCCTGATCCCAGCTATATGGGTCCCCTCCCCCCTCGGTCTCAGGGTACTTTGGGAGGACAATTTCTTCATATCTGATCCTCTAGCCAACTTCAACGCCAACGGAAGTGGCCTAACTGCCTGTTAGGACACTGCAGTCTGTAGGGTCTTTTCTCAAGTTCTTCCTGACATACGATCTGCTCCCCTCAGGCTTTCCGTTTCTCTTTTTTTCTTCCTGCCAGTATTGCCTTTTTTATTCCCCTTTTTGTGATTTTTAAGCTTTCTCTTCTCTTCTCTCCCCTTCTAGCACAGCATAGCCATGAGGTCCCACCTGGGAAGGAGGGGAGGTATGGTACAGGAGGGAGGTGGTGGCGGAGCCCAATATCTGTGAAGAATTAGGATATTCCCTGACATCACAAAATTTCTATGCCACAAAGATACAGGAAAGGAAAATGGCTTTTCACAAAATAATACCTACAACTGTGACTTATTTTTGTTGTGTAAATCCTCCCAACACATCTGATTTTGAGTTACCAAAAGTTCACCAACCAGTTCCCCAAATTCCTTCTATATTTATCCTTCAACTTTCCAAGCCTATGCAGACTATCACCTTGGGCAGAGAGGAGACAAGAAAAATAAGGGCTCTCTGTCATGACTGCAGATGCCAGATGCAGATATATACAAAAGCAATCAGAGGGGCAGGAGCTGGAGGGCCAGAATAACAGCAGAAGAGAAAGAGAAGTGAATATGCAATTTGAAACTACGTATTTGTCTCTGCCATCTGTATACATTGTATTCTTTTTTCTTCTTCTTCTTCTTTTTGGTCTTCTTGAGACAGGATCTCGCTATGCAGCTCAGGCTGGCCTGGAGCTCACTTTGTAGCCCAGGCTGGTCTCAAACTTGCAACAATCCTCCTGCCTCAGCCTCCTTAGTGCTGGGATTACAGGCTTGCGCCACCACACCCGGCAATATTGTATTCTTATTTGTGCTTGCAAATTTAGCATTTGTCAGGCAGGTAAGAACATGTTTTCCCTATCTCCTACAGTGACTATACTACCTGCATACTCTAGAGAGGATATTCAGTGAGTGACTGAGCCGATGGAGGGCAGGGCGGACCTTTCTGAGAAGGCCATGTCTGAGTTGCGAGCAGAACAAGAACGGAAAAGCAGCTGTGGACAGACATGCGGGAAGAGCATTCGCGGCAGAGGGAGGATCATGCGCAAAGTCCTTGCGTTTAGCTCAAGCTTAGCATATGCAAGGACTACTAAAAAGGCCGGTGGCTGGGCTGTCCTGTGTGAGAGTGATGGGAGATCCGAGCAGCGTGGCTGGCTGCATCTGGCAGCGCAGGCCTAACGCACATTACTAAGGCAGCATTCTTGGGCATCAGGCAGATCTCATGTGACGACAGCAAAGGCTGAGATGGGTCTGTTTAGTTACAAGTCTAACTATCCTTGGTCTGTGAAGCTTCGCTTACTATCAGGCCCTACTCTGGACTCTTGATTATGGGCCACGAGTTACTGACTACCTTTCTCTGTTCGCTATTCTCTTCTCTCAGTAGATGCATTGGTTACTGCGTGGATTGTGGTGATGATTAAAATCTACATATGAGCCGAAGTAGGGTCTCAACAAGTGATAAAGATAATTAATATTATGGTTCCTTACTCTGTTGCAGGACCTGGTCCAACTATTCATGGGGAGTAATCACAGCTACAAAAGGCCCTATTAGTAGCCCAGTTTCATTGGTAAAGACACCAAACCTCACAGGGGCTAAATAAATTGCCCAAGGCTGCACAGTTTGGCAGAGATGCCTGCCCCGCAAAGACCCATACTCCCTGTCCTGAGTTTGGGGCCACGTTTTCTCCCTTTACCTCTAGGTGAACCGTGTGGCTACTTGCTACACATGGAATCTGGGCCGAAATGACTGCTGTTACTTTCTACATCTGTGGTTGAGAAGAGATGTTGACATCAAGGTGACCCTGATGGCATTGGGTCAGAGTGACACATGGAAGACAACAGAGCTCCCCTGGGTCTCAGTCTTTGGGTGTCTGAGTGAAGCAGAGTGCACTGTCCCCCTCTTCCAATACTCCACCTAGTAGGCACGATGCAAGTAAAAGAGCTATTATGTGAAACCATGGAAATGTAACTTGATGATGCCTTTATTACAGTTGCTATCACTTATTGATAATACCCACAGCTAGAAAATACTCTCCTCAGGATGAGTATCCTAGAAGCAGAGCCTGAGAGAGGGATTCATCTTCAAGTGCTTTACTGAGGGGAAGTTCTCAAGAGAGGAGGCGTGAGGGAAGCAGGCGGGCGAGGGGAGAAAGCATAAGGAAGAATGTTTCTCATGGTAGTTAGATCCCAGATCCGCTCGCTGTAGTTAGATCCCACACATTGCATCACAGAGCTGACCACCAAGAAACAAGACCACCATTTACATCCCCAGGAGAGTTAGATATTACCAAGGCCTGTCCCTGAGCTAAGAGAGTGAAGAGTGTGCAGTCCGCGTGGCAAGGGCCTCCCAGGGGGAAGGGTAATTCTTCAGAGGAGGGGAACCTGGTAGGTTATGAGCCAACACCAGCTGGCCAAGGAGATCTGGGTGAGATCTACCAGGGCCACTTCAGTGCTGGACACAAGTTTGATTCCAGGGGCCGGCTTCTGATTGTTAACTGTGGATGCAGGGTTATCAGTTAATTTCTGCAAATATCAACTTCATAATAAGAACACAAATACTCACACAGATGAACAACACCATTTATTATCATGCCATGGTGTGACATAGCAGAGGGCTTTAAAATGATCATCCACAGCATTGCCAGTAGTGTATTTCCTTGTACTTTTTCCTTTTTCCTCTTTCTTTTTATTTTTTCTGTCTTTCTTTCTCTATCTGATGAAACAGTTGCAAGATTCTTTTTTTTTGTTGTTTTTTTGTTTTTGTTTTTTTTCCAGTACCGGGAATTGAACTCATGACCTTGTGCTTGCCAGGCAGGTGCTGTACTGCTGAGCAAAATCCCCAGCCTCCAAGATTCTTATAGGACAGGATGTAGAAGCTGGATGAGTGAAGGAAAGGGGTTTGTTCAAGTCTTCTGAGTCAGCTGCAGTCAAGGTAAAGTCAATTCTGACCTTCCTGAAGTCTTTTTGTTTTGTTTTGAACCAGAAATTGAACTCAGGACCTTGCGCGCTTGCTAGGCAGGGGCCGTGCTGCCGAGCAATACCCCCAGCCCTCAATGCTGGCCTTCAGCCCACAGTTTGACTGATTCATTCTGTTACTTTCTCCTTGAAGTTACGAGTTAGGGGCAGCCCAGATCGTGACAGAACTGTCTCCAAATATTTGCCAATAGAAGATTAGCACTTGGGTGGGGCTTCCTCCATGCAGACAAATACTACTCCATGGAAATACAGTAAACACGGTAAATATTTTCTCCATGGAGATAAATCTTCCAGAAAACACACTTTTTTCCTCCTGAGACTTAGGATACAAGAAAGAAATACTTCCTCTCTGGGCTTTCCCCAGCACCAGCCCCCTGCCTCTTTCCCTGCCCTCATCCCCTGAGCTGTGTCAACTCTAATTCCTGCTCCACATACAGCACACCTGTAATTCCAGTACTCTGTGAGATTGAGAGAGGAGGCTTTCAAGTCTGAGCCCAGTGCATGCAGCTTAGCAACCCAGTGAGACCCTCTCAGAAAAGGGGGAGGGGGATGGGGACGTAGCTCAGTGTGAAGGCCCCGGGGTTGAGTCTGCAGTGTTACAAAAAGAAGAAAAGGAAGAAAGTAGAAGGAGGAGAAAGAGAAGGAAGAAGTGGAAAAGGAGAAGGAGAACCTCCGATCCCACCTATCTCAAAAATCACCCAAGAGTGATATTTCTTTTTGCCCCCTAATTTTTTTTTTTTAATTTTTCAAACATACAGAAAAGCTGCCAGGGATGTGGCATATACCTATGACCCCAGGTACTCAGCAGGCTGAGGCAGGAGGATCGCAAATTCAAGGCCAGCTTGGGCAACTTAGCAAGACCCTGTCTCAAAATAAAAATATAAAAGGGCTGGGGTAGAGCTCAGTGGTAGAGTACTTGCTTACCATGTGCAAGGCTCCGGGTTCTATCCTCACTACCGAAGAAGCAATAAAAGCGCTGCAAGGATAGTACAATGACTACACATATATCTACCCTTCACCAGGACCCATCCATTGTTAGTATTTTTCTGTAGTTGTATACACATAAATACAATTCTTAAAGTTTTCTCAATTTAAAAATGTAAACCTTGTGACTTGCACCAAGTGCTTCAGCAAGAAGGTCTTTAAGAATAAAGACCTCAGGCTGGGGATACAGCTCAGTGGCACAACGCCTATCTGGCAAGCGCAAGGTCCTGGGTTCAATTCCTGGTACCAAAAATAAGAGACTAAAGGCCTTGTCCTATTAAACCACAAGACATTTCTCATACCGCAGTAGGCACATTAATGCAGTATTGTCTAGTAGTCTATTTTCAATTTTCCTCTGTCATCTCAGTCACATCTTTCACAACATTTTTGCTTTCCCATCAGGGAGACTTTCCAGGATTAGCGCTGACTTCACGGGATGGTCCTGTCCCTGGAGTCGTCTTCAATCTCCAGTGTTTCCCCGCCTTTCTATTTTTATGTCACTGGAAGCAACACTGCCCTTGTTTCATGGAGTCTTCCTTTACCCGGATGTGTCTGATGATTTCTGTACAGGCAAAGTCATTTTCCTTGTTTTTGGCAGTAGTCACTGTCACTCGGGTCACAGGTTCAGTCCTTTAACTCTTGTTTGTGAATTTAAAGCACTCTGTGGGGTGAACCACTGAGCCCACATGAACATCCTGTTTCTCACCACTAGACCCTCCAGGGTCCTTGTACACGTTGTATCCATAGGACCTCGAGAAGTTCCTCCTTTGTAAAAGCAAATCACACAGCGGTTTGGTGCAGTTCCTCCATTGCTCCACTTCAGGGAGCAGGAAGTTGAGCCCTAGGAAGAGGAAGTGAAAGCTTGGGCCACAAAGCCACAAAGCCAGG